ATTAAATAGATGTGGAATATCAACAGATAGACATATTTTAAAATAAAATCCAAAACAAAGCACTGAGGTTAAGAAGTACAATTAATCAAAATGAAAATTTTATTAATTTGATAAGAGTTAGGAGGCAGAAAAATAAAAGTCAGTAAATTTAAACAGACTAAAAAATTATTGAAATTGAATAATAGAAATATTAAGCACTATAGCATTTACATAATTGGAATTAAATAGAAAAAATAGAAAAAAAATCTATACAGAAAATTGTGAATATCCATTACTGCAACAACTTCACAAACTTGAAAACAAAAAAGCAAGAACAAAACATGAGCACCAATAACACAGATCCAAGAACTCAACAGCCCACATCACTTGTGAAACTGTAGATTTCAAAAGGTAAGTGCCTACCAGCCCAGAGATAAATGACACATGACAAACACAGGAATAGGAATTAAAATAATAACTAACTTCTCATCAGATTAAAATAAAAATTTAAAAATATTTTTTCAACCCCTATGCAACAATATCTGGATGTGCTGGGAAAAAATTTATCAAACTATAAACTGTGTCTAGAGAAATGTATGTTTTTAAAGTGATGGAAGTAAAGGATATTTTAAGTCTAACAAAATCAAGAAAATTATTTTGTATTCAGATTTTCATAAAAAATGCAAAAGGAAACCATTCAGAATGATTGAAAATAAGAAACTATAACCTGAATACACATGAAGGGATACAGATGTAAAATGTGCATAACCATAAAAGCCCAATTTTTTTTCTAGCCAAGATAGAGAAAAAGGGAACAGACTTATTCTCCAACCTTGAATAACTAAATATAAAAATCTAAAAAAATGACACAGTGAATCATATCACCAAATGAAAAAGTGATCCTTGAGAGCTGGTAAAGAATGAGACTAATTACAGAATTTCCTGAGCTTACAATCTGGGGACTGTAACTCATATAGAACTAGGTTATTTTTCTGAGTGAATGAGAGGGATCTGAGATTCCAGAGAGGCTAAGGCAGATGAATTTCACAGTGCAGAGTTCCAGAGAAGAGTAGTCCTCATGCCTGACACATACATGGTATTTAGAAGTATTTGAGGAATACTGATCAGTGCATGTGTAGAAATAGTGGAGGCCAGAAAAAGATATACAAAAAATTATTAGAAATAATAATACACAAAGCTCAGAGTGAGGAATATGCTTATTCTCAGAAGTCAAAGTGGAATACTAGGGAAACACCTGGAGTACAAAGAATGGCATTCCCTAGCAGTTTCTCAACTTAGCACTAGGCACTAACCCACTCCCTTCTAATACAGTATAAGATAATATTCAGGTTGAATGATTTCCATGTAAATCATTTGTATCCTAGAAAAAAATCTAAACAATACTAATAGGAACACAAAAAATGTTCAGAACAAACAAGGTCGTTTGATAAAATTTAATATATATTTCTGAAAACAAACAAAAAAAAAACTCTCAGTGGATTAGAAGAAAATTTCCTCAACTGGATGAAAAGTATATACCAATACTCAGAGCTAACTTTGTATCTAATTGTCAAAAACCCAGTGTTTCCTAGTAAAACAGGGAAGAATGCAATTATGTCCACTGTATTAACGATGTCAATAAGTTCAATAACCCAAGAAGAATAAAATAAAAAGTATTCATGTTAGAAAGGAAGAAGGGAGATCATATTTACTAATGATATGGTTATTTACAGACATAATCTCTGGAACCTCCCCCAAAATTTCTAGAATAGATAAGTTTATTAAAGCTATAGAATAAGATCAAAATATGAAAATCAATTAGAGAATGAATAATAAGCAAATTAAAATTTTTATATTATTTTTATTTGTTCTACTTATTTGCACATGACAGCAGAATGCATTTCAATTCATTGTACACAAATGGAGCGCAACATTTCAATTCTTTGGTTGATTACAATTCTTATTACACATATAGAGCACATATTTTCATATCTCTGGTTTTATACAAAGTATATTCACATCAATTCATGTCTTCATACATGTACTTTGGATAATAATGATCATTACATTTCACTATCACCTTTAAAGATCTTGTAGAACTTGGCTGTGTATCTATCCGGTCCTGGGCTTTTCTTGGTTGGTAGACTTTTAATGGCATCTGCTTTTTTGTCACTTGAAATTAATCTGTTTAAGTTGTGTATATCATCCTGATTCAATTTGGACAAATTATATGACTACAGAAATTTGTCGATGCCTTCGATATTTTCTATTTTATTGGAGTACAAATCTTCAAAATAATTTCTTGTTATCTTCTGTATTTCTGCAGTGTCTGTTGTGATATTTCCTTTTTCATCACATATGTTAGTGATTTGAGTTTTCTTTCTTCTTCTCTCTATTAGCATAGCTAAGGGTCTATTAATTTTATTTTTTCAAAGAACCAACTTTTTGTTCTGTCAAATATTTTCAATTGTTTCTTTTGTTTCAATTTTATTGATTTCAGCTCTGATTTTAATTATTTCCTGTCTTCTGCTGTTTTTGGTGTTGATTTTTTTTTCTTTTTCTATGGCTTTGAGATGTAATGTTAAGTCATTTATTTGTTGACTTTTTCTTCTTTTAAGGAATGAACTCCGTGCAGTAAACTTTCCTCTTAGAACTGCTTTCATAGTGTCCCAGAGATTTCGATATGTTGTATCGTGTTCTCATTCACCTCTAAAAATTTTTTAATCTCCTCCTTGATGTCTTCTGTAACCCATTGTTTATTCAGTAGCATATTATTTGTCTCCAGGTGTTGTAGTGCATTTTATTTCTTATTTTTTCATTGATTTCTAATTTCATTCCATTATGATCTGATAGAATGCAGGGTAGTAGCTCTATTTTTTTTATATTTGCTAAGAGTTGCTTTGTGGCATACTATATGGTCTATTTTAGAGAAGGATCCATGTGCTGCTGAGAAGAAAGTGCATTCTCTCATTGAAGGATGAAATATTCTATATATGTCAGTTAAGTTTAAGTTATTGATTGCATTATTGCATTCTATAGTTTCTTTGTTCAGCTTGTGTTTGGAAGATCTATCCAGTGATGAAGGAGATGTGTTAAAGTCACTCAAAATTATTGTGTTGTGGTCTCTTTGACTCTTGAACTTGAGAAGAGTTTGATGAATATAGATGCTCCATTGTTTGGGGGCATATATATTTGTAATTGTTAAGTCTTGTTGGTTTATGATTCCCTTGAGCAGTATGTAGTGTCCTTCTTTATCCTTTTTGATTGACTTTAGTCTTTCTTTATCCTTTTTTATTGACTTTAGTTTGAAGTCTGCTTTATTTGAAATGAGGATGGAAACTCCTCAGTCCATGTGAGCGTTATGATTTTTCCCAACCCTTCACCTTCAGTCTGTGGATGTCTTTTTCTATGAGATGCGTCTCTTGGAGGCAGCATATTGTTGGGTCTTTTTTTTTTTTTTTCCAATCCAATTCCTAGTCTATGTCTTTTGATTGGTGAGTTTAGGCCACTAACATTCAGGGTTATTATTGAGACATTATTTGTATTCCCAGTCATTTTTGTTTATTTCTGGTATTTAACATGTCTTGGTTTCTCCTTGGGTTAGATTTTTCTTTAGTGTAACCCGTCCCTTTGCTGATTTTCATCATTGTTTTTCATTTCTTCTACTTGGAATATTTTGCTGGGGATGTTCTGTAGTGCAGGCTTTCTAGTTTTAAATTCTTTTAACTTTTGTTTATCATGGAAGGGTTTTATTGCATCATCAAATCTAAAGCTTAGTTTTGCTGGATATAAGATTCTTGGTTGGCATCCATTTTCTTTTGGAGCTTTGTATATGTTGTTCCACGATCTCCTGGCTTTGAGGGTCTGGGTGGAAAAATTTGCTGAGATACTAATTGATATCCCACTATATGTCATATGATTCCTCTCTCTTGTGGCTTTTAAGATTCTATCCTTATTCTGTATGCTAGGCATTTTCATTATAATGTGCCTTGGTGTAGATCTGTTGTAACTTTGTACATTTGGTGTCCTATAAGCCTCTTGTATTTGGTTTTCCAATTGTTCTTCATGCTTGGGAAATTTTCTGATATTATCTCATTGAAGATATTGTGAATTCCTTTGATTTGAAACTCTGTGCCTTTCTCTGTTTCAATAACTCTTCATTTGGTCTTTTCCCATGATTCTTAGATGTTCTGTTCATGGTTTCTAACTATCTTCACTATGTGATCAACTTTATTTCCCAGATTGTATACTTTGTCTTCATTATCTGACATTCTTTCTTCCAACTGCTCTAGTCTGTTGGCTATGCTTTCTTTTGAATTTTTTTATTTGATTTACAGTATCCTTTATTTCAAGGATTTCTGGGTTTTTGTTTTTGTTTTCAGAATCTCTCTCCCTTGAAGTAATCTTTTGCTACCTGTATTTGCTCTCTTATCTCATTGTTGGAGTGATCAATTTTTGCCTGTATTTGCTCATTTAGGTCATTCTTTAATTCACAGATCATTTTAATTATGAACCTTCTGAACTCCTTCTTTGATATTTCATTAGCTTCGATGTCCACGGGTTCTGTTATTATGATGTCCCTGGTTTGTTTGGGGGTAATTTCCTCCTTTGTTTTTTCATGTTGTCGATGTGTCTTTCTTTCTTGCAGTTCATATCTGAGATATTACAGTTTCTTCCCTATATTCTTGTAGTATCTGTGCTGATTGTCTATACCTCACCTTGATGTTGGGCTTCTAGACCCTGCTGGTGTCTCTCAATGTATGCTACTGTATCCTGGATCTGGGTCTTCTGCAAGTCGAAGTGGGTGGATCTGGGCTGCTGAGCTTGACCTGCCTAGGTAATTTGTTGGTTGCTAAGAGCCACAGTCAAGTAGGAAGGACACATGGCATTTTTGGTTGAAAGGTGACACCAGCAAGCCATTGAGATGATAATGATCATGTTAAGATGTGCATTCAATTAGATATTAGACCCCTGCTATCCGCCTAGGCCTGCTACTTTGGAGCTCTGGTGGGGACTCCCAGAGGGTTCCCATTGGTTGGGGAAGTGTAGTAGGAGGGATTTCCGGAGGAGGGATTTCCTGTTGGTGTAGTGTATTCTGGGAGAAGGCCACATACCTGGCGTTCACGGGAGTTTTGGAAATAAAGTTTGTTCCTGCTTGAGTGGCTCATGATTTTGTGCCCAGCCAGACTGCGGCAGTTAGTCAGAAGGGGAAGTCCTGAACCAGAGGCTAGGCTCTGGTAGGTGTCTGCCCCAACTGAGGAAAGGTGGACCAGGCCTGCTGTGAGCCTGGTCCTGCACAGGCCTGTGTGGATGGTTCTGGGCCGCCCAGGCTTGACCTCCCACCTGAAAAAATCTTACAAAGATAAATATTTAAACTAGAAGTCTAAATTGTTTTCAAGAAAAACAAATACATTTGTCCACAGAAAGACTTGTATCTAAATTTTCTCAGAAACTTTGCCAATAACAACCTTAATCTATAAATAATCTGAATGTCAATCTCTGGAAGAATGGGAAAAATGCTGCATGGTACATTTAGGTAATGAATTGATATGTTGCAGAAACCCACTTCACAAACTGGAACACAACAAATTACACGCAACAACAAGGAAGAAACTCAGATTTTAAGGTAAGACAAAGAATCTGGGCACAAAAAATGCTTTATGATTTACATGTATATGTAGTCCTAGAACAAAGAAGGTGGTGAAAAAATATCAGAACTGTGGTTATTTAATGGATGGACAACCCTTGCCAAACCAGGCACAGGATGAAGCCTCTGGGGTGGTGGAAATGGTCTATATTTTGGTAGGAAATGTGGACTATACATGAGTTATTTACCAAAATTATTCATTCAATGTCTGTGTATTTTAAGCAAACTTTATATGAAAAATTGAGTGAGACAGGAGTGTGTGGAATTAAAAACTAAACAGGAATTTTGATCATGAATGTTGATTCTTTTAGGAGCTGATTAATGTAGGCATGAAGTTTTGTTATTTTCTTTAATTTTGTATGTGTCTTGAAATTTTCAAGGTTAAAATGCTTAAAAACATTAAATCATACCAGTGCCATAATTGAGAGCATGTGTACCAGTGATAATTATTGCAGAAAATCTAGGATAAGAAAAGATACCTTTATGAAGAATAAAACTGGAAGCTGGGGGGGGGTGACTGTACACAGTGATTAGCTATTATTATTAATACATGATGTTAATCAGGAGAAACATCAATGTGTGAGTAAGGAGGCAGATTTATATATTAGAGAGACCCATGTTTGCATTTTTGTTCTTCTTTATTAGCTTTGTTACTTTGTGCAAAGCAATTAACCTTTCTGAGCTTCAGTTTATTCAACTCTAAAATGAGATTAATTATCTCAACCTCAGAAGGTGACATGGAAAATTTGGCAATTTTAACTTCTTGTATCCAGATTGTGCATTGCATGAAATTGAGCACATATTAAAGGAAAGTTTGTTTTCTTCTTTTCCTAACCCACTATGTAGCCCCATGCTCTGATTTCTTAAGTTATAAAAAAAATTAGGACAATTAAATTATGTGAATTAGTCTGTATATGTTTCTAATTTTGGAAAATAAAGTTTGGAGGTAAATAAGATTAATATAGTGGAAAGAAAAAAATTTGATTAACCCTCCAACTGGGGTTCTCTCTTCATTGTAGAAAATACTTTTTAGTTGTGCAGATTTTGGTCAAAATTTTCCTCTGCTGCAAAACAAAATAACTAGATTACAAGACTAAAGAATATATTCTTGATTAAGTTCTTAAATAATATTGCTTTGTATTATTTAGTACTAAACAAATTTTAGTTATATTTATTACTAAGTACAATATAAGTGCTACAACAAGGCTGATTTTGCTGCTTTGTTATTTTGTGATCTAGTTGCAGTCTGGACTGGAAAAGAAATTCCAAAGATTGGACCATTTAAATAAGTTTTCATTGAGAAACTGATTCCTATAACTTTATGAGAACCAAGGATTGTATATTTGTAATTATGCATTTGTAATTTTGAAGAGATGAATGAAGCTTTCTTTCACTAACAGGTAAGGCAGAATATACTTTATGTCAGTTCTTAGAGCAATAAATCTGAGGAACGACAGAAAATAATTTTGCAAGCACAGTGTCTCACATAGATTACCTAGAGCAGAAGCCGTAAAGTCATCTGTAATTTACAGAGATTTATGTGATTGAGCATATTTAACAAAACTGTAATCCAATAGTGAATTTTTCCTGATGCTTCTGAAGGCTGCGATTCTGAAGTTAAGTAATGTTATCAAAGCAGCACATAAGGACAATGGTTTCTGAGCTATCATTTAGGATTAAGTTGGGTAGATGCCTTAAATTTGTGAGAATGATAATATTGTAGCACACACATGTTCTATCCCTTGTAACATCTTAAATAATAATCTTTGTTTTATTTTTTGCAATAAACATATAGCAGTACTGGATTCCTTATTTAGCCATACCTTTTTAGAACAGAAGAGAAACTCTTAACATGTAAAATACGGGTGGCTGATCAAGTTCTAAAAATATATTTTTATTGCTTTTCACAACATGTAAAAGTTTCATAATATAAATTTATAATGGTTTACATGATGTATTCTTAAATTTATTCACAATACATATATCTAGTTCTTAAGTTTGTTCAGGTTACTATAATATAATAGCGTGAACTAGATGGCTTATAAACAACACTTTTTTATTTCTCATAGTTCTGGACATGGGGAAGTCTAATATTAAGATGTTGGCAGAATCAGACTCTGGTGAGGGTCTCCTTCTTCATTAACATCAATTTTTTTCATTGTTTCTTCATGTGGTGAAGGAGCAAGAAACCCACTGGAGTCATAAGTACACCAATCCTGTTTGTGAGGGCTCTGGTCTACTAATATCATTGCCTAGGGTGTTAGGCTTTCACCAGACAAATTTGGGAGGGGGGGTCATTGATATTTAGTACATTGCTCTAATGAAAATGGGACCTGTATTGAATGAATAATCAATTAATTAGAAAACACAGGAATGCTATAGTTGAGATGCAGAACATGAAGTACCTTGTAAGATGGAAGAGGATTTCTAGGTTTTCTGTATCTTTGTAGACATGAAAGGCAATGTAACTCATATTTAAAGCACACATACATTCCACACACAACACATATGAGCAAAAACAAATAAAATGAAACTAACAAAACAAAATGCAATTTCATATCTATGTTGCACTTTATCACAATTAGATCTGGAAGAAAGGGTGACATGATATTCATTTAATTGTCTCTAATGCATTTTAAAATGCTCACTTGTTATTTTTACTTGGCTTTCAAACAACTGGTTTACTCACCATTCTAACATGTCAAACTGTTTTCAAACGTTTGACTATTTGTTAATGTTTCAGCTATTAAAGACATGTTATTTAAAGGAATTTAAACATAAAAAGATATTTCCTGTAATCTCAAAATGCTCACAATTGGTAACAGCTAATCAAAAAATATCACCAAGAGGAAAAATAATATATCACCAAGAGAAAAACACAAGTCCCAGTTGACTTCACTGGTAAGTTCTATCAAGCATTTAAGGGAGGAATAAGACCATTTCTTCACAAAATATTGAGAAAGAGGGAATATTTTCCAACTCATTAGATGAAACCAGTTTTAGAATAACACAAAAGCCAGACACAGATATTTAAAAAATAACAAAAAAAGAAAACCACATCAATGTCCTCCCTGAGTAGAGATGTGGAAAGCAAGAAAATAATAGGAAATCAAATCTAGTGAAAAGAGGGAGACCACAGTGACCAAGTGAGATGTACTCTAAGAATGCAATGTTGGTTTAATTTTTGAAAATCAGTAATTGTAATATACCATTTTATCTTTTGAGAAGACTCTCAAAGATTATTTGACAAAATCTAATGCCAGTTTATGATTCCTCAGCAAAATAAAAAATAAGGGAATTTAATCAACTTTATAAAGGATATCTATGAAAAGTTGCAGCTAATATCACAGTGTATGAACAACTATCTTCTATTTTAGATGGGGAAAAAGGTAAGTTGCCTGCTCACATTACTTCTTTCTCACACTGTATGATAAGTCTAATAATAGTTGAATTCTAATAATCCAGCCACATTTATGATACATGGATTTTCCCCTAATAAACCTCTTAAAATGCTAAGAACAAGGAATAAAATTTCCTATTTCCCCTCTATTTGAATCTCCTGTACAGTTTAAAAAACATATAGAAAAAAATTTCAAAATTTTTATTTTGTGTCACGAGCTGATTAAAAATGCAAAAGCTTTTAATTTCATATAGGATTGGAAAAACAGAAGTTCAAATTTTCTTGGTCTTGTTCAGATTAAAAGTTTATTATTATTAGACTCATTAAGGTTTTCTATATTTTCTATTCAAAATGACTTGCCTGTCTTACTGACAATAAAGCTATAAGCCAATCCAAATTACAAATTAAATTTGTTTTCAGAAAGCAAAAGTTTTCAGAAATAACTTTCATCTTATATCCTTTATTAAATATCTCTTTAAGTAAAAATAAATATATATTCTGATAAAATTCCCTTTAAAATATAGTATAAATTTCACCATCATTCATTATACATATTTTCTGAACCTAAATATATATTTATCATGTTATTAATGTAATATCTGTAAGCTATTAAAAAGAAAGATATAAAACTATATTTAAAAATCAAGAAATGCAAAATTAAGTGTACAGATATTTTATTTTCCCAAAACCTTTAAAATACAAAATCACGATTATTTTTATATAGAATCATTCTTTATTAGTAGTATTCAAGCCTTGGGTGGGGGAAGAATGTGAAGATTTTGTTGTTGTTTCCCTATTTTAATTGATAATCTCTCAACATAAAATTAATAAGGAAAATAAATACTTGCACAAAGAGAGTAAGAATGGATAGTGATTGTATTAGTAAGCACCATGAGTACCATTCAGAACCTTTTTTTATTTTTTATCAGAGCTGAGAAACTTTAATTAACTTGTGCTTTTTGTAAATCCCACCCAATATTATACCTTGTAATTCTAATTCTAAATTTACTCATTACTGAAGTAATGTAAAATCTTTGAAAACAATGATACAGTAATTTCTATTGTAATAGAATAAAAATTATAGGTTTAGAATAGGCGTTACAAGAGAGAGGTTTTCAAATTTGCTATATCATCTGATAAGATGATGTAGCTGAGTTATATTATGAAATAATATAATGAGTGTTTCAGTTCATTGTTTCATTGTTGTAACCAAAAGACCTGATAAGAACAATTTTAGAGGAGGAATATAGTTTATTTGGCCCTCACACTTTCAGAGGTCTCAGTCCATACATGGCTGCCTCTGTGGCTCTGGGCCCAAAGTGAGGCAGAGAATCATGTATGGCGAAAGGGTGTGGAGGAGAAAAAAAAACTCAGAACATGGCTCTAAGGAAGTAGAAAGAAAGTGTCTCTCACCAGGTACAAAATATGTATCCCAATGGGTTGCTGCCAGTGACTTACCTTCTTCAGTCACACCCTACTTGCCTACAGTTACCACTCCATACCAGTGAATTAAGCCATTGATGAGTTTACACCTCTCACAATCTAATCATTTTGTCCCTGAACCTTCTTGAATTTTCTCACATATGAGTCTTTTGGGGAGGCCATTTACCCCAATCTTAACAGTGAGAATGCAAAAAGTTAAATAAAATTATACATCCACTGCAGAATCAGGATAACTTGGGGAAAAACATTTTTGCGTTTTTGTTCCTTTTTAAGCAGTGTCTTCCAGCTTCATGACTCCATATTGACTTCAAAATGAGGAGTGCTAGAATAGTTTAATAAAATATTCCTAGAGTTTTTAAGCCTTAAAAGAAAATCAGGTTAGAAAATTGTGTTTCCACATTAATATGAATTTTTTGGGATACAGACTCAAGGAATGATACTTTGGTGTTATTTTATTTGTAAAGAAATTTTCATTCGTGGAAATCCATGGTTACTTGTTGTATAGGCCCTAGAAAGTGCATTGGCAAATGATACAATTAATTCTGTGCCCTGACCGAGAATAACTGAACCTATAACAAATAAATTTTCTTCTTGTAAAAGTTTTGGGTCTGAGAATCCTCATTTGTGCAGATAAAATTATATATGAAAACTTGGGAACTGATGATGAATATATGCCACTTTTAGTCTGAAGAGCAAAGAAAATTGACAGGGACAAAGAGAAAGTGGTGGGAGTAGGGAATATGAATATGACAAACAAATATGCAAAAGAAAAGACACTTTCTGCTTTAGTTCTCCTACCTCTTTACTTCCACCTTTCCCAAGAACTATATGCATTCTTTTGGATGCAATGTTTTATACTTGTGTCCTTACAATAAATTTATTGTGTTTTTTGTTTTATCTTGTTTATCGGTTTGTTTGCTATTGATACTATTCTTATTTTGAGAAGTTATATGCAAAGAACCAGGATGGTGATAGTAAGGCCCAAACTGGAATAAGTAGATTCACATGAGAAATATTTCAGAGTGGAATTGACAAAATTAAAGCTGCTGATAATATGAAAATATACCTAATTTTTAGAGCAGAAAGAGATAATAAGAGAGATATTAGCTTATGTCTTAGGCTAGTACTACAAGTAGCAAATATTAATTTTTTACCTGGATTTTGAGGTTATCTAGTACTAAATATTTAAAAACAATTGATGAATAAATGTGAAACTTAAGAAATATTATTGTGTTTTCAATATATTATATGATATAATTAATTACAATATATATTGTACATTATTTATAAATAAATTAAAATAAAATAAACTTTTAATTTGGGTAGGAAATTTGATATCATGTATTTTGAAATTTCACCTTTATTTTTAAATGTCATGGTTTAATCTATATTTTATTTAGCAAAATTTTAAGATTGCTTTTACTTTGACATACAATATAGTAAAATTTTTAAATAGCATTATGTTATTGAGATAATAAAAATACAAACTCTTACTATTTAGATTTTGCCATATTTACATATAAAAATGTTTGAATTGGGGGAAATACTGCAAGGGCAAATTTCACATTCTCTTTCAAGATGAGAAATGATAAACAAGTATATTATATTTCACAATTTTGAATGTTGTTTATTGCATAATTAATTTAAATTATACTTAGAACAACATACATAAACTTCTTTGAAGTTATTCAGTAATATTATTATTTCTAAATTATTATTATTTTTTAAGTGTGTCTATTAGGTTGCAGAAGACTACTGGGACATTTCTATGTTATTATATCATTTCTGGTTTCATTTATTCTACAAGTCTTATATACCTCTTATTTGTCAATAGTATATTATTTGACTTCTTTCTATATAGAAAATGGACATTTTGTTCTATACAGAAAATGAAAGTTTCAACTTGTTATATTTCACATAGTCACATATTTTTTTACATTGAAAATGCCAATAATTAAAAAAAAAACACTTGGAAATCTGGGAATGGAACCACCATTTGACTCAGCTATCTCTCTTCTCAGACTATACCCAAAGGACTTAAAAACGGCATACTACAGGGACACAGCCACATCAATGTTTATAGCAGCACAACTCACAGTAATTAAACTGTGGAGCCAAACTAGATGCCCTTCGGTGGATGAATGGATTAAAAAATGTGGCATATATATACAATGGAATTTTACTCAGCAATAGAAAAGAATAAAAATCATGACATTTGCAGGTAAATGGATGGCGATGGAGAAGATAATGCTAAGTGAAGTTAGCCAATCCCAAAAAATCAAATGCCAAATGTTTTCTCTGATATAAGGAGGCTGACTCATAGTGGGGAAGGGAAGGGGAACATGGGAGAATTAGATGAATTCTAGATAGGGAAGAGGGGTGGGAGGGAAAGACAAGGGGCAGGGGATTAGCAAGGGTGGTAGAATGTGATGGACATCATTATCCAAAGTACATGTAGACTCGAATTGGGTGTCAACATACTTTATATATAAACAGATATAACAAAATTGTGGTATATATGTGTAATAAGAATTGTAATGCGAAAAAAGTGCATGCATAAAGTCATGAATTGGTGTGAACATATTACTCTATATAAAAGATATGAAAAATCAATAAAACTAAAAAAACCAATAATCTCATTAGTGTAATTGAATACTTTTTAAATACTAGGCTCTCTATTAAGGATTTGACATGTATTTTCTTAAGTAAAGCTCATCAGAGTTTTCTGGGATAATACTTTTTACATTATCTTTTTAAAGGAATAAATAGAAATGTGTTTAGTGTTACATAGGTAGCAAGTAAATAGATCTTTATTCAAACCTAGATCTGTTGCATGCCAAATAAATGTTTATACTGCTACTGCAATCTCCTTCAAAGAAAAATGAATGTGAATATATTATATATTTCCAAATTTTCATATTAGTATGAGAAAATCATCTTCATGAACTACAAATAATATAATATTTGGAGATCTACATTTTGTAAAAGATAAAGTCCAAAATGAGGGCTGGATTTGCTTGCTGGATTATTAAACAGCATTTCTGCCTTTTTGCTCTATAATGAATTTTTAAGGGTGAAAGAAGACAAAATTCAGTTTAAAATACTAATAATCTTATGTGCCACAAGTATCAGATCACTGACATCATGAGTGACCAATCAATAGCAATCTTTAACCTGAAGTAGCCAATTCTGTCATTATGAGTAATTGGAATACTTAATAAAATGATAGTAACAACAAAGACTTAAAATGCTATACATTTGTTATGCACAATTCTAAGAAATTTAAAAACATCTATTCATGGGATCCTTAAAACAATCCTGTGAAATTTGTACCATTATGTGTTTTCACATTTTAGATGAGGAAACAGCCACAGAGTGGTTAACTAACTTGATCAAGATCACCCAGAAGTAAGCAGTGGTATTTTCACAAAGGTTTCCTGCTTCTAGAATCTGTGATCTCATACAATATCTTGAGCCTCATCTCAAGTATAAAAATTGATCTCACAACAACTAGTTAACCTATCACCTACAGCTTTCTCAGGTACTTTATGATACTATCACTTTTGCTTCTTCTTTCTTTCTTTCTTTCTTTTTTTTTTGCCTGATACTTTCCCCATATTTTTAAATGTTACTTTTTAAAAAAACATTTTTAAATTTGTTTTAATTAGTTATACATGACAGTAGAATGCATTTATGCACTTTTATATATCATACATAGATGGGATATAATTTATCATTTTTGATTGTACATGTTGCAGAATCATATTGGCCATATAGTCACATATATACATACAGAAATAATGTCTGTCTCATTCTACTATCTTTCCTATCCCCACATCCTTTTTCTTTCCCTCCCATTACTTCCCTCTACCTAATCTAAGGTAACACTATTTTTCCCAACCCCCCCACCCGCCCACCTCACCTTGTTGTGAATTAGCTTCAGCATATTAGAAAAAACATTCAGCCTTTGGTTTGTGGGATTGGCTATTTCACTTATCATGATATTCTCCAACTCTAACCATTTACTGTCAAATGCCATAATTTTACTATTCTTTAAAGCTGAGTAATACTCCATTGAATATATGTAATATATTTTCTTTATCCATTCATCTATTGAAGGACACCTAAGTTGGTTCCATAGTCTGGCTATTGTGAATTGAGCTGCTATAAACATTGATGTTTCTTATTGGCATTTAGCTGTGTCCAAGGCTCCCTCCCACATTTAAAAAATATAATCCCTTCATCCCCCTTACTCCTAGAGCTGAGCTTTCCATGTCCCTTAAATTTCTATTAGAACTAAACTCATGAAGAAAGTTAACCAATATTCATCATCCTTGTTGGATTAGAGTTATTTATCCCCCAAACTTACTAAAATATATACAGTATATCCACAATTCTTCCCAAAGATTTTACTTTTAAGTTCATTATTACCTTTTTATCATTGATTAGGATGAGATTTTTAAAACCCTTTTGAATTTGTCATCTTAGTAATTTTTAATACAGTAATCTTTTGTTTTCTTGGATAAACTGGTGTTCTGTTGTACTTAACTGCTTTTATGAAGAAGGGACTTATCATGATAAAACAAGCTGGTAAATTATGGAATAGAACTATGTGCATTTTTCCATTACATCTGTTAATTTTTAAAGATATTTCAAAATTATAATGGTTTGGCAGTAAAATAAAATGTACCTTGTGGAAGCTGAAATGCATGGAATAGTATGGCATGTATTTGGTAATGCAGTGTATACAGATCAATGGAGGGATGACTGCATCTCCATATTTATGTGCAAAGGAACAATACATTTCTTTGTGGTACTTGAAAAAGAAAGATAAGAATAGATGAGGATAGGTGGGATTTTGTTACTGAGCTATGTGCAGAAGGATTGCCTTTCACATGCTAAGCTGAAAATTACTGGCTGCAAAATTGTGGAAAATGGAATTCAGTGACTTGAAAGAAATTTGGAAGCAAAAATGGACTGCATTGTAAAGAAATCCTATAGTGCTAAAATTCCCAGTAACACAGTGAATGATAGTGTGTGTATTTATGGGAGGGGGTGACATCAACACTATTGAGAGAAACTTGATTGTGATAGAAAAAAAGTTTTAAGAAAATATTATTCAGTTGTTTTCACTTAGGTGTACTGAACTGTTTGATCAAGTATAATATTTGATGAGACTATGTCTACGTAAATGTTAAAAATTATTTTTAAAAAAACCCTAAGTTATTGGAAAGCATTGCATCACAAAATGGGCTTTTTTCTTTCTTTCTTTTTTAGTTGTAGATGGACACAATATCTTTATTTTTTGTTTATTTTTAATGTGGTGCTGATAATTGAACCCAGGGCCTTACTTGTGCAAGGCAAGCGCTCTACGACTGAGTTACAACTCCAGCCCCGGGTTTTTTTCTTAATGGTGCAAAAAAAAATCTCATCATGAAATTGATGACATTATATATTTGATGAAGTACAGTATCATAATTTGCATGTGATTATTTGATTACTGTCTATCTTCCCCTCCAGATTATGAATGCTATGAGGATATAACTTTGTTGTTTACCATTCTGTTCCAGAGTATGTAATAATGTTCTGAGTATATAAAATGGATAAACTTCTTATCATGCAAAGATATGAATATAGATAGGTTTCAGGTGATTATCTCTTTTAGAATAAGTTGGTATCCTGGGGTTTCTATTGATTAAAGAGTTCCCTGAAGTGGGCACAATCTGCGACTTCTGGTCTTCACATGTATGAAACATTTTAGGTCCTATGTTAGGAACAACAAAAGGGCCTTCCTACATTTCAGAAATAGGTATTGTGTTTTGGTGGTGTTGTTTTTTTTTTTTTCAGCCCAAATTCCTAAGTATAAGTCACATCATCAGCCAGTCCTTCTGACATTATTTACATAAGTCATCATTCTTTAAGTATTTATAACTTGTAGGTAATTGTCACCACTGTTCAGTGGGTTTTGCAGGGGGTTTTTTGTTTGTTTTTTTGGATTCTTGAGATATTTAAAATGTTTTCCCACCCAGGTGCAGTGGCACACAGGTGCAGTTGTAATCCCAGCAACTCAGGAAGCTGAGGCTGGAAGATTGGCCAATTCAAGGTCATTCTGTCAGTTTAAGAAAACCCTGGTTCACCAAGAAATAGGAAAGCTTGGGATGCTTCTTTCATTTGCATTTTTGCCTCTCCCCTGATGGCATTTCAAGTTGCAGACCTTGTTATACCACATCTGAAATAGCCACAGAGGAAACTGTTGTCCTAATTTTCAAATTTGCCCTCAAACACATTGAATATCTGCTATAGTCTTAATTTTTTGGTAGCTAACATTTTATTAATGATGAAGAATGAAAAATAGTCATAAAAAGCAATAAATTCAAAACAGGTGCCTTCAGTCCCCCTACCCAACAAAAAATTGATACTCCCATAGAAAATTCACTTCCTTTATAAAAATTAAGGTGATTATTAAATCTGTCCAATCTTTTAATTATTCTAACTTAACCTTCAACTGTACTTTTTTTTTTTTTTTGGTACCGGGAATGAATTTAGGGACACTTGGCCACTGAGCCACATCTCCAGCCCCTATTTTGTTTTTTTTTTAGAGACAGGATCTCACTGAGTTGCTTAGTGCCTTGCCACTGCTGTGGCTGGCTTTGAACTTGTAATCCTTCTGCCTCAGCCTGTGGAGCCACTAGGATTACAGATGTGCACCACTGTGCCTGGCCAACTATACTTTCAAATAAGCTTATTCACCACATTGACCAAAACAATAAATAAATGTCACTGAAACAAAAAGAAAAGAAAAGAAAAAGCTGGTAAAAAAGAAAGAAAGAAAGAGGGCTGAGAACACAGTTTGGTGGTAGAGTGCTTACCTACCATGCTATAGACCTTGGCTTCAATCCCAAGCAAAACAAAACAGAACAAAAAGATTTTCCCACCTGCTTCTATAGAACTCTTAATATAATTTCATTGAAATCCTTATATCTCTATGTATATTTAATAAGGTTGAAGTCAGAAACTGTGACTATCACATACATAAAAATCAGTTAACTCCCAAATATTACACCATAGATGT